TTGGATTGTATACCTGGATTATTGAGCATGGACTTTGTTGGCTACCAGTACCTGGTTTAAGGACCATGGTATCCCTGAGCTTAACTGGCCAGCAAACTCACCTGACCCTAACCCCATAGAACATCTATGAGTTATTGTGAAGAAGAAGATGTGATGCACCAGAGCCAACAATTCAGAAGAGCTGAAGGCCACGATCAGAAACACCTGGACTCTCAGAACCTGAGCAGAGACACAGACTGATCCACTCCATGACACGACGCATTGATGCAGTAATCCAGACACAAGGAGCAACAGCTAAGTACTGATGCTGAACATGATCATACAAAGTACTTTATGTTCATACCTTATGTTCATACTTTTCATGTTCGTACTTTTCAGTTGGACAACATTTCTATAAATCTTTTTTTTTTTAATTGGTCTTAAGTAATGTTCTAATTTTCTGAGATACTGAATTTGGGGTTTTCATCAGCTGTCAGTTCTAATCATCAACATTAAAAGAAATAAACATTTTAAATGTATCAGTCTGTGTGTAATGAATAAATATAATATACAAGTTTCACTTTCTGAATGGAATTACTGAAATAAATGAACTTTTTCACGATAAGTTTTACAGATGTTCGTGGAACATAGCTACAACCACAGCAGTCTAACTTCATTTCTGTCGAGTTGTAGACATTTTTACTTTGGCTAAGCTGTGGCAGCCATCTTGATTTAGGTTGACTAACAGTGATTCAGTTGTAGACGTACTTCCAGTGAATACCAGTACTTCGATTACAGTCCATCTTTCTAACACAAGCAGACACAGGCAATGACATGATCGCCCGCCTTTCACTGAACCAGACAATAAAAGTGAGCAGAAAACAAATACAAATACCAGGAAGTACTGCATAAACTACGTTTTATTTTTTAAGGCAAAATGAAATACTGACATACTACTGTAAGACAAAACTTCACATATTTTGAGTTTACAGTTTCAAGTAGAGAAATGTAGGTTTTTGTTCATAAAATAACAGATTTTTTTACTAAACAGACTCAAACAATTTTGTCTTA